ATGGCTCCCTCTTCCTTCGACCCCCTGGGTGAAACTCTGCTGCCTGAATCACCTTGTCTCCTCCCTGGTCCACTGGATTTCCAAGTGGGCAGCACCGGGCTGAGGCAGCAGCAGTGCCTCAAAGCTGTCTGTCTGCAAATGAGGAGCCCGCAAATGAGGCTGGTGGAAGTACTGAGCCTCTGGACAGGTGACATCCTTGTCATGACTTCATCAGTCATCTTACCGTCAGCATCCTGATGACCCGGCACAGATTTTCACCCCGTCTGGTAGGAACAGACCCCAAAGAAATAAAGTGCTATGAAGTAAGTGCCCAGGACTGCTGGACAAGGCTCACCTCCAAGATGTCCACAACGTCACCTTACGATTCAGGAACCAAGGCAAATGAGATGTTTAGCTCTGTGGCCTTGCACAGTCTGGGGGTTGGCATGTGTTTCAACAGCAGGCAAAAACACAAGGAGTATGTTTTCCTATTGGGTTTAATACACCTCAGACAAGAAATGTAAAAATGCAAAACTATTAACATAGAGTAAAACAATAATTTACATTTAAATAGCTACTGAGTTCCAAAAGATCTAGAAACAGAATTTTAGACCTAAAGGAATCTTATTAAGCCACTTACATCATAAAAAAAAAAACCCCAACAAGGTGGTGATGTCCTCCATTTTTTGCAAACCCCTCCCCCATCCACCACACACGTGCACACACAATCTCTCTCCCTCTCCCCAGCAGACTTGCTGCCTCTGCAGCCATCTCCACGCCTCTGTCCGGTTTCAGTAACAGGAGGGACCCCTCACAGCCGCTGAACACAGAGCGCCCCCAGCCGCATCTGCCTGAAGGCCTGTCTTCCTCCATGTTCGATCCCTTCAAACGGACAGACAGACGTCCTCGTCAGTGTGTCCTCTTTACTGACTGGCTCGCTCTTCTCAGCATATTAACATGCTCATGTCTCTCTGTCTGAGAAAGCAAAACAAAACAATGCAAAACCACTTTCTAGGTCGCACATTTCTCTCTAGTCACGCCCCACCCCCCTCTCACAGCCGCATTGGTTTCCTGTGGCTGCAGTTACAAAGCACCACACAGTGGGTGGCTCACGCAACAGACATTTACTGTCTCCCAGTCTGGAGGCCAGAAGTCCAGGATCAAGGTGGCAGCAGGGTAGGCTCCTTCTGCGGCTGTGAGGAAAATCTGTCCCAGGCGTCTCCCCTAGCTTTTGGTGGTCGCTGGCAAGCTCTGGGGCTCCCTGGCTTGTCAATGCATCACCCCAATCTCTGCCTTCATCTGCATGTGGCCTTCTCCTGCCGTGCATGTCTGCGTCCAAATTTCCTCTTTTATAAGGACGCTAGTCATACTGGAGTAGGGCCCACCCTAGTGACTTCACCTTAGCTTGACTCTCCGCCAAGTCAAGTTTCCAAATAAGGTACATTCTGAGGTACTGGGGGTGAGGGCAATAGAAAGTATGGGGGGGCATAATTCATAACAATGGCCCGACTTTAGAAAAGAAACATGGTTCCTCCCTATGCCCACTCCCCATCTCTACTCCCTGCCACCTTCATGGCCCCCACCCCCAGGCTCCTGCAGGGCCCTTGCGGTAGCCCAGTTGGATGGATGTGTTCCTGTCTTTATTGGGTGGACCTTACGGCCACGCTATCCCTCAAACTCCTTCCCTTTTGGCCTCTCCACCGCTGGGGCGTCCCCTGGGACTCCGCAGCACCTCCTCGGACCCTGGCAGAGCTTTCTCCTCCTCAGCGTGCCTTGGGCTCGGTCCTTAGTCTTCTTCTCTCCCTCCTAAGCCCTGCCTCAGCGAATCATCTACGCCCCTGCCTTCAAGGTCCACCCCCATGCAGGCCGCCCCTGGTAGAGTTCTCCGGCACAGACACCTCTCCTGACTTCCAGGTCTGACAGTCGCCACCATCTGTTCCCCTGGTGTCTCCAATAGCAAATGCACCCAACTGGACTCGCTCCTTCTCCCTCCAAATCCTACCTTAGGCCTCTGGCGAGCCTCCTCCTCCTGCAGCTCCTGCCTCACCATCCACATACCTTGCACTGAGCCAGACAACTGGGCACCACCCTGTACTGTCTTCCGTACCATGTCATCAGTCCCCACGTCCCCTGGAGTTGAAATTATGTCCCAAACGGATCCTCTCCATTTGGCCTCTACTGCCACCCTGGTCACTTCCACAGGTTCTCATTTCTTGGCTGTTTGACTTTGTAAGCCTGCTACCCATGCCATCACCTCCTGCCTCCCCCTACTCCCGCCTTAACTTTTTCTCCACGTCACCCTTTACACTGTCCCCAGACAGGTCTCTCAGGCAGCCGAGGTTTAGGATCATTCAAGGGCTCTGCACTGCCTGCATGATGAAGAACAAACTCTGTACCGTGACATGAGCGGCCACTCCTGTAATCTGGCCCCTGCTCACTCTCCCATTCCTGTCCCTCCCCTCTCCTTGCACAAGAGCTATTCCAGCTGGATGGATACTTGGAGGCCCCGAAAGTGTGTGCTGCTTTCTCATCTCCTTCACACTGGCTGTTCCTCTTGTCCCCACTGGCACTGCACCCTTCAGGACTCAGATGAGAGGTGTCCTCCCTGCCCTCTCCAAAACCGAGTATGTACTGTATCCACCAGTCATCCACGGCCTTCTGCACTGTATCTCCAGCACCCAGTTCACTACCTGGCCCATAAAACAGGTTCAGTGATCATTCCATGAGAATCTCATCCAACGAAGAGTCCGAAGCAGAAACCCGAGGCCCAGAAAAATCACCCAGGGTCTAACGGCCAGTGAGTGGCAGAGTTGAGATTCAGCCTGGTCCGTATTTGAAGGTTCTTGTCAAATATGGCAGCTTCTCAGGCCTCACCCTGGACCTGGACCAGTCGGCACTTTGAACAAGCTACCTTGGTGACTCCTCTGACCAGTCTGAGAACCAGCAGCCTATGCCTTGATGCCTGTCTGAAAGGCCTTTTAAGGCTGGCACATTTGTAAAGGCGCAGTCAGTTACTCTCTGTGGGTGACGAGCAAGGAAACAGCCCAGACCCATTACATCTTCATAGGAAAGCAATCTTTTGTTTGAGTCCTGAAGCTTTTCCTTTTAGAGTCCACTATTGGGATGCAAATTCCACTGGCAGAATCGACAGACACAGAAGGAAGTGGGGACTTGAGGAAGCAGAGCAGATCTGTGCGGTGAGAAGTGGCTGGGATGGAGGAGGGATAAGTGTCGCCAACAGAACCCTTAGGAAAGGTGCCCTTTATTATTGTTTTATTTTCAAATCCTGGCGTGCATCAGAATTACCTCCTGGGTTTGTTGAGAGGAATATACCCGGGCCTGACCCCCAGATCTGGCAGTAGGGGTCCGAGCAGCTGCATTTCTAATCAGCTCCCAGGGAGCACACTTTGAGAACCACTGAGCTAATTCAACCTTTGCACCCAATGCAATAACCTATTAGTCTGTGGCACCCCATGGAGACAGGGCTGTGATCACCCTGTCTTTCTGCGCAAACCAGCCGTGGACCTTGTCGTACCAGACCTTTGAAGAAAACTTTGGAGGGTCGGTTGTGGATTTGACTACAGATGGCTTAAAATAGGGCAGTAGAAAGGAGTGCTCTGGGCCCCTGGGATCCTTGAAGGCAAGTCAGAGTGGCGGGTCTGTTGTGTCTCTTTCACCCACAGACGTTTCAAAGCATGGCACTTGCGGTATTAAAATTCGTATTGCGGAAGCAGAGTGTCATTATCTGTTTCCTTCGAGATAGGGACGCGTAGACAGGCATGGCCTCCTCCAACACCAACAGCTTTCAAGTACCACCGCTGAGCCTCCACTGCACCCAGCATCTTAGCCTTCTTCCACGACTCTTCATGAAAATGGAGACAATTCTTCTCGTGACTCGAACCGAAAGTTAAAAAGGGGCTTTTAAATTGCATGTCGCCGCAGACCTTACCTGAGATTAATGACTAGTGTACATGAAAGAGGGGTGGAGGAATGGAGGACTACGACCTGAGTTAAGCGCCCGGGTTCGGCCCGGACGTTGTTTTGCATGGTGGGGGCGGGTGTTCGTGCTTTGAGAAAAAGGATGTCCCCCTGGGGGCCTGTTTCAAAGCGAGGCTTGTTTGGCTCGCACTAGGGCGCTCCCCCGGGAGCGGCAGCGCGCGCAAGGGCCGGCTGGAAGGCGCGTGGCTAGCAGAATGCTCCCGGCCCGGCCGGCGCGTGTACGTGTGTGCGCACTGTGGGGAGATGCAGGGCGTGTGCACAGCATGGGCGGGACGCGTGCCACTACGGGCGCCGGGTGAAAATTCCGTACAAAACCGAGGCTCCGGCGCTGCGGCGGGCTAGCCTGGGGAACCTAGTGGATGAGCAGGGCCCTGTCCACGGCCCATGGTTCAGCGCCCTAACACCAAGCGGCCGCACCAAAAGACTGAAGGGAGCTGTGCAACTCTCCACAGACCCCTGGCAAGGCGCGAGACCCCGGGACTCGCACGCGCCCGGGCAAGCAGAGCGCGCACTCAGCCACTGTGCCAGTGGCTGAGTGTACACGACTCCGCGCGCTCCCCAAGCCTTCTAGGGAACCACCGCACTGGCGGGTATTAACTGGGAAGGAGAGGGCGTGGCCTGTGCGAGACCAGCCAATGAACCAGGGAGGGGCGCGAGAGGGCGGAGCTGGAGTATAGAGAGCCTATTGGCCAGCTGGCCTCCGGTATGCAGATACTGTGGAGTCACGTGCCAGGGGCCGGGACGACTTCCTGTTGGAGGCCAATTCGGGGCGGGGAAGGGGGCGCGAGCGGCCCGTCTGGCTGGAGCTGGGGGAGGGGGGGTTCTTGTCAGTTAGAGCAACAAGATGGCCGCGGTGGCAGCTCCGCACCTCAGCGCGACGGCCTCGGGAGCCGCAGCCACCGCCGCCGGCCCCGCCGCTCCGCAGCCCTGAGCACCATCCCGGCCGCCCCCGCCGCCCCTGACAGGGCCCTCTGCGCCACCGCCGCGCTCCTGCCGCCGCCGCCGCGGGCCAGCCTGAGCCGGAGGCGGACGGAACGCAGCCGGCCGAGCGTCGAGCTCCGAGCCCCGCCACTGCCTGGGATCCCGGGCCGCACCGGAGCCACCTTCCCGCCTGTGGGAGCAAGGAGGAGGGCGCGTCGCGGCGTCGCTGGGGCTGGACCTGGACCTGCCGGGACGCGCCACCGCCCACCCGCCCGCGCCGCTGCCGCCGCCCGCGCCGGGAGCTGAGCCCGCGGCGCCGGCGCTGAGCGGGCCCCCGCCGCCCGAGCGCCCCGCAGGCCTCAGGGCGGCCGCCTGGGTTGTCGTCGCCACCGCCGCCAGGCCCGCGCCGCTGGAGCCCAGCCGAGGAGTCGTTGCTGCCGCCGGGGACGGAGCCCAGGTGAGCGTGGGCCAGGCTCCGAAGAGCCGCAGCTGACCGAGCTGGCGGCGTCGCCTTTGTTCGGCCGGGCCCGGAGTGCGAGGGGTCGCAGGTCCCGGCGGGAAGGGGTGCGCAGCGCGGGGCGGCGGGAGGCGCTGCCCGCGGCGCGGTGTCGTGCGCGCGCGTGCGCGCACCGGGGAGAGCGGTTCCCTGGGCCCGGTGTGCGGGGAACCTGGCGGGATCGCAATGGTGACACATCAGTTGTGGTGTTTTTAAACTGATGCGCTTGGTGGAAGCGGGATCTCCCCGAACGGTCACCCAGGGTTTTGCATTTGTGATGGCATGCAGAAACCCGAATGTTTTCGGGGTAGGGCCTCCGCGCCGTTGTTCAGGGGAAGAGCAGCCCCGGGGCGTTCTCTGGTGGAGGGTGGCCCGGCCTTGGCCTGGTGCAGGCCTGGAGTTAGGTGGGCTGCCAGCGGCGTCGCAGGCTGCAGAGCGATGCGCACGAGGAGGGGAGCCGCGCCACTTCACAGCTGCCCTGCTATCAGATCGCGTAACCCGAGCGCCCGGGCGCCACCTCGGCACCTTTACCTTGTGGATGAGATTTAATTGATCGGTTCGTAGCTATTAAAATGTGCAGATGCGAATTTAGGGGCTCCCTGCACGGTAACCGGCCGGGCAAACAGTTCTCTTGCAGCTTGCGCGGAGCGTGGGGAATCTCACCGAAGATGCAGGATCGCTGCCTCCTAGTCGCGGGCGAGGGAGGAGCCGCAGATTCGGCTGCGGCTATTGCGGTTTAAGGCACTTGGAGACATCCGTGATTCTGCACGAAATGAGTGCGTTGCCTCGAACCTTTGCCTATGTCGGAGTGAACCTCCATTTGGTGTGCTCGGTTATTTCTCGGCGTGAACTGCAGATTGTGAACTCAAAATGGTGCTCTGTAGAGGTCCGGCTCAGGCGTCCTGCAGGAGTTGCGAGTTGGGGGCGTCTGGCTGGTTTAAGCCATTGTGTTGCCGAGGTTCAGGTTTTCTCCTGTATCCAGCGTTCAGGATGATGTGCTTCGGCGGTGTAGGTGGACAGCGCATGGTGATCGCTGCGTGGAGCTGTTACGTCTCTAACTAACTGACCCTGCACCAGGCTTATTTTAGGCGAATTGTTTCCTGCATTCACGATTGAGTGGCTGGTGGGGGGGGATGGTTGAGACACTGGAAACGTAGCTTGAGTGGTCTCAGAGGACAGCGTTGGCCGGTTCGAACTGCATGGGGATGCTGACAAGTACATGCACAGACGCGGCCTTCCTTCAGGGCTGTAGGAAAGCGTGAAGGGTAGAGGCCAGCCCCAGGCCAGAGGAACTCGCTTGGCAGCGGGCGCCTCAGAGGAATGTACATCATTTCAGAACCACGCAGGTGGTGCAGGTCTTTGAACGCCTTTCAGCGTGGCATCCCTGCAGTGCTTTGGTGGGAAAAATGATGCGAAATGGGGTTTTCAAAATGACCCACCCAGGTGTAGTATCCAAATTAATTTCATTGTTGCTGTTTTCAGAAGACAATAGCCTGATAAATGGTTACTTTGCTTACATATACTGAAAGTTTGTTTTTTCTACAGAAAGTTCTTAATATGTATATTTTCATGAGAAAAGAGGTTCTTAGAATCTGTTTTCCTTTCACAAACCTAGAGAGTGGTAATAGTAAAGTTATTGGGAAAGGTAGATTATGTTTACGGTGACGCAAGAATTGTTCAAGTTAGCACTTCCTCAGCCAGCAAACTGGGTCCGCATTCCAGGTAGGATGTAAATACCTAAGGGCGTCCTTATGGGCAGATGGTTTCACAAGCCTGATTCTGAGTCTTCACATCCAAGTCCAAGGCCTTATTGAGGACCAGTGCCTCTGTTTTACTGTTGAGGTATGACATCACGTTAGGTTGACACCAAGGTGGTCACAGGCTTAATCCTGTTTCATTTGGATTCTGGCACTTAAGTATAGTAGTAGGAACCAGGGGAATATGTAAACATTGATTTTACATTTTCCTCCTTACGGCGTCTGTTACTGTTCTTTATTCAGTGGCACGTGTCCTAGCGCCCGCACAGAGGTGGTTTTGTAACACGTTTATGCTTAGTTGGCACGGCGATTGTGGAGCAGGTAGTTGCATTAGACGCTGGGGTGAGCTGTTTCTTTTGATTCTCAGTGACTGAAAAATAAGTCATGGAGCGACATAGGAAACTTTGTGACAGCATTTCTCACCGCCACCGCCTTTTCGTTAAGCAGCTGGCTTTACGGAGATAAATTTGTGCTTTTCCCAACGCTGTCATCTGGCTCACGTCCAAACCCATCTGGAGGAGGAGGGGAGGAGGTCAGGCCGGGAGCGGCAGCTTTTCCTCAGTGAAGGGACCTTTCGGCTGAAAAGAAATGGAAGATGAGATCCCTGCAGTGCCCGCAGGGCGGGCATTTGCAGTCCAAAGGAGGGCATCGGGGTCCTGAGTGTCTGCGTGTTCTTGCTGAGCTCCAGGAGGTGATACCAATTTTTAAAAATTGTTTTTAAAGATGACTAGGGAAATAGGTCTGTTTACCCGTGATTCGGTTTGGTATCGGGTAACTTCCCTGATAACTTAGCGTGTTAAGGGTGAAGAGCCGTTTTAGTGACTATTTATGGCCCTTTTTGGCCTCCCCAGTAGGAATTACATTGGAGAGCCTGCCTGCTTACAACAGCAGGGTGTCTTGTCTAAAGGTGACACCTGAGAAGATTTTATAAGAAGGAAAATGCATTGGCCGTGAAGTCTGAGGCTGTTCCACCCATCGGAATAGCACATGGAATAATTAGGATTTGGAGATGGAGCGACCCAAGGCTACTGAGGCAGTCACCGAAGCCTGTGGGGAAGGGGCTGAGAGCAGGCGGGCGGGGGAGGGGCCAGGTAAAAAATCTTTGTTTTACTTTGTTTCTGTTTTCTTGAATGAAAATTGTTTTGGCTTCTTACCCATGATTTTGAGACAGTCACATGGTTCTTACCTGTCATTCCAGCTTTACTTCAGAGGCCTTCTGATGGTTTAGAAATCTTTTGAAGGGGTCTTGGTGCTGTGTTCTATTTTCTATGGTAACTGATTTTACAGTGCTGCTGACTGGATTTTATTTGCTTAATTAAGACACTTAATACCTTGATAATTTTGTTCGAAAATGTCATAGGTTTAAGTAGGCAGAACAACATCGAATGAGAGCTAAGCTTTTTTTAAAGCAGATTTCAGACTTTCTGTGAGTCAATCTAAACATGATTACCTAAAATTTTACTAATTAAGTAATTTTTTAGTCACAAGATGAGCATTCTTTACTTTGCAACATAATATACAATAAGTTTTCTTTAAATACACTTTAATGCAATAAAGATGTTCTCATAAACATTCAGCTTATATACAGCTTTTCAGGAATATAGTTACTGAAAAATATAAAGGTCACTTGCTGTCAGAAACGGCTGTATGACCTTGCGTAGTGATTGTGTGCCTGACGTTGACACCAAGACGCCTGTGGCCCTTGCCTAGTGAACTTGTTTGAAGAAGCTGACAGACCGACTCCCATAAGTTTTCTGTTGTGCATATCCTGCCTTTGAACTGTAACTTTCTTAGAAATAATAGATGTATTTTTCAATTCTCCAACTGGGATGTGATGAGCTTTTGCATGTTCAAAACATGGTGAAAATTCATACCCTTTGTGTCATTTTGGGAGTTAGACTAAAAATGAGTTCTCTTCTTGGCCACTGATGCCTGCAGAGAGCAAAGAAACCATCGCAGCGGTGGGTGCTGTTTGCCGAGGGCGCGCTCTCGCTCTCAAGACTGCAGAGCTGGGTGCAGAGCGGGCGGGCTGGGGGTCTGGCCAGGGAGCATCCCTGTGCGGCCCATGTAGCTGTACGCCCTGCGGAGCCCCCGTGCTGCGAACCACACGGGAGGGGCGGCCTTGGGAGAGCAGCCTTCACTGCTGTTGGAACTCTTACTACTGCGTGGCGGCGCCCAGAGTCCCAGCTGTGTGGGGGACTTGGGCTGTCTAAGACACCATGATGTTAAGGACGGGCAAGGATGTGGCTTCTGGCGTGTGTCTCTTCTGGGCCAGTGGGTTTAAATATTTGCTCTCAGAAATATGGGGTGGCGAGTTGTCTGTCACAGGGTCTCCCTCCTTACATGCCTCTCGTCAAGACACTTCCATTGGAGAGAGGCACGTCTAGTCGCGGGCCTCTGGGCCACGGCACACAGGGCCCAGAGGGTCATTGGGGTCTCTGCCAGGTGGACTGATCTGATGTGGCCGGTTCCCATTTTACTTCCTCCTAAACCTTTTCTGACATCAAGACATTTAAAATTTTTTGTACAGAAATACGGAAACGAAAGAGTGTGCTAATACGTCCACTCATTGTTCTTTAAGGTCACAGCATTCTCTGTGACCAGCACCCGTTTGTATAAATCAGGGTGATCCCTGAACAGGTCTTCTCTAGAGACTCTTTTCCTTCTTTAGGACGTTGTAGACATTAATGCGTGTTACATCCTCACAGTGTTCTTCCTCTGAAGGCCTGCGCTGCAGGCCCACAGCACCACAACGTCAGGTCAGAGCGTGCGCAGCAGCGGGAGCAGCCAGCCGCCGCGGAGCGGTGCCCAGGCGCTTCCTGGGGCCGCGCCTCTGCTCTGTGTGCACGGTCCAGCCGACTGAGGGGGCCTCTCACTGCCGAAATCCATTGCTCGGTATCGTTTACCTTTTAGCCCCAAAGATAATTTCTTTTTAATTACTCTTTTTAAAAAAGATTTTATTTATTTATCTTTAGAGGGGAAGGGAAGGAGAGAGAGAAACATCGATGTATGGTTGCCTCCCGAGCGTCCCGTGCTGGGACCTGGCCTGCAACCCAGGCATGTGACCTGACTGGGAATCGAACTGCAGTTGTTTGGTTCGCAGGCCTGCACTCAGTCCACTGAGCCACACCAACCAGGGCTTTAATGACTGTTTTAATAAGCGGGGGAAACCTCAGTTAAAATAGCAGTCGGGAATTACAGTCA